TTTTCAAACTTTACTTCATAATTGACAAAATTTACTGATTTCATAATTTCTGTTATTTACATTTTAAATAACGATCTAAGTTTTTAATTAAAACTTACTAATTTTTTACCAAAACCTACTATTTTGCTAAATGTTATAAATGGCCATTGGTATAACTTACCATAATTTAGTATATTGTTAACAAAACTCACTACTATTTTTTAACAAAACTAAGTTCAAGCAACTTTACGCAAAAGTCAATACTATTTTAAGCAAAAACTTGTAACTTCATTAAAAAAATCTTACCACATTTTCTTTAGTAAAAATTGTTGTTTCATTGATATGACGTACTGCTGAAGCATGTCATATGTGGTCATTAGCTTGCTACTTTTCTGTAACCACCTGTTATGACCAATCGTCAAGTGAATCTATTAGTTTTGTAAGTTTACCATCAAAATTAGTTAGTTTTACTCTTGAATCGATAAAGTTCAGTAATTATAAAAGTTACCACAATTTAAAAAAGAAAACATACCAAATAAAATGTACCAGTTCTTAAGTAATTTAATTCTTTTAGTCAAACTTACAGCTTCTTCAACGACTTTTAGTACTTTTTGACAAATAAAGTTTTGAGTAAAATTTACTATTATGTTTAATCGGTGACATTCAAATTTCCTTAAGCAGTTTTAGTACTTTTTAAAACATAATCTTACCTGCCAGAAACATATATACTACTAGCAAAAATTATTTCTATATTCCAAAAAAAGATTTTTCATCATCAGCTTAGTTAGTGACTAACTTTTCCATCCGTGGGTTATATACTCACATTCATTTTCTCTTTGCATTTGAATACTTTTTTTTAAAAATAAATCTGCATTTTCACAAACTACTAACTATTCATCTCTACTTAACCAATGCTTTAAGTGTTCTCATTAAACTAGCCCTTAGGTATATTATTTTTCTCTAAATATTATTATTTTTTTGCAAAGTCTTTTTCTATTAGAAAATATACCATTTTCTTAGCAAATTTACATCTACACAGTAAATTTATAACTAATGAAAATTTAACAATTTTCTTTGAACGAAGAAAGTTTTGCTTGGAATGCAGTGATTTTTCAATGAAATAGATAAGTTTTGCTTAAAAAGGGTTAACATAAAAAAAATTCCCCTGAAATTTTCTTTAACGTCACTTAGCATCTATTCTTTATCTTTAAGTTTTTCAGCTCCATTTGTTTGATATGGGAATTAAGTCTCAAGTGAGGCTTAATATATTCATTTTGATATTATGGAAAACTGCAAGGGAAGTTACTAATATTATTCCTAAAAAAATGTTATATGTTTTACTGTAATTTAACAAAACTTTTAAATCAAGTATCATTTTGTGTTGTAAAATTAAAGTTGCATATTTCATAAGAAACTTAATAAACTTTTTGTGTTCTCTTAAGTTTTGCCACAAAATTAGTAAAATATTTCAATAAACATACTAATTTTGCTAAATATGTGGTTAGATTTCTTAATGAAATCATAAGTTCACTTGAAATAGAAGTGAGTTTTGTGTAAAAAAAAATGGTAAGTTACGCTTGAAAATTAGTAAGGTTCGTTAATAATGCAGTAAGTTTAGTACTAAAAAATTGTAAAATTAGTTAGAAACATACTAAAAATTTTGCTAAAAATGGAGTAAAGTTTGTTAATTAAGTCATAAGTTTTGCTTGAAGAAATTAGTAAGTTATGTATAAAAATAGTAAGTTTTGCTTGAAAGTTAGTAAGGTTTGATGATGATGTCGTAAGTTTTACCAAAAAAGTAGAAAGATTAGTCAAATGAAGTCATAAGTTTTGCTTTAAAATAGTAAGTTTTGTAACAAGGATATTTTTATCACTAGTTGAATTCTTGCCTTGGTTTGCAAAGATGCCTTATATTTGGTAATTGTGGAACTTGGAATGGATTCAATAAAAGTTTCAAAAATAATAATTTCAAGGTCTGCAGGGAACATGGTTGAATTGATTCCTGTTTCTTGTAAAGCATAAAAAAAATGAAAGAACATATTAAGTATGTATCACTCTTGTGCTTTATTGCTTCTTTAGGACAAAACGAAAGCCCTCACTTAGGGCTGTCAACGGGTCGGGTCCGGGCCGGAATTCATTATTCCGGACCCGGACCCGAATTACTATGCCGGATCCGGATCCGACCCGTTTACCCGACGGGTCTTTTATTCTATGTTCCGGATCCGGATCCGGGTCTACCCGAACAAATTTACCAAAATTTATAATTTCTAATAAAAATGAGAAAAAAATATATTTGTAAACTAATTTCTAACTAATGCAAAGAAAAAACCAAATAAGAAAAGAAATCAAATTAACTTTATTAAAATACATCACCCTAATCAAATTATATTGATAAATATATATTTTTTAAATTATTAATTCATTTATATCCGGATCCGGGTCTAATACGGGTCGGAATACTATATTCCGTATCCGACCCGTTTTTTTGTTTGACAAAACGGATCCGGATCCGGATCCGGGAAACGGAATTAAATCCCTACCCATACCCACATTAATTTCACGGATCCGATCGGGATCCGGGTCTAGACCCGACCCGTTGACAGGCCTACCCTCACTAGCTTTTATTTCATTAAAGGGCTAAAACAGTTTTCGCTTATAGTACATCATTTTCTTGCCACCTCTATTTGTGCAAAAGATGGAAAATATCTGTTTAAAATTCAAAAAGACTCTTATATTACGTATTATTAACAAATATTTTGAAATTTATAACAAATTTTCATAATTTGTATTCAGATAAAGATGTAACCTGTGAGTTATGCAAAAAATAACAAAGCCTTATATCATACTTTTTTCAAATAATGAACATAATATCAACAATTTGATAAAATGAATATCTTGTAGCAAAAGATACAACTCAGTTTTTGTATCATACAAGCATAACCTAATGTTAGAAAGAATTAATTTTTTTTTTTTGAAATTCTAGTAAGGGAGAAGTGGAAAGGGAGGAAGGAGGATTGAAATTCAGGACTTCTAATTCCTAGAGTCTCAACCTTAACTACTAGATTAAGATCTCTTTGGTTAGAAATACAAATTAAGCCCAATATTAATGCAACCTAACATATAAAAGTCATGGTAGACAGTCGTATTTTTAATTTTATAACTTTCAAGCATGTTTGTACTATTCATGGATAACTTTTTAAGCGTAACATTGTAAAACTTGTATGCTTCAACTGAATCTTGTACTTTACATTTTGAAGAGTAATTTCTGTACATAAAACGGTTTGTATTATTCTCATACCTTATCTTAGTAATGGTTTTTTTTTTTTCAGAAAATCTTTTGGAAGTTTTCTTTCCGCAATGAATCATGAAAAGTTGATTGAGTTATAATTCATGACATTGTCTTGGTTCAGAAACTTGAAATGAGAAACAAAAAAGAAAAATTAACAGGCCGTGAAAAGAAAATGAGAAGTGAAATAGGGACACTAATTTTGGTTTGTTGGGTGGTGGGCCAAGGGGTGAAGGTAGTTTTGAGTTAGGGTGCGGATATCATTTATGAATATTATATCTGTTCATCAAAGCTCATTAGAAACTTTCTTGTTCATCACTTGGAAAAAATGTTGGGGGCCTTCCCATTTTTCGTTTTTCAAACATCAACAGAAACATAGGTTTGTGATTTTCAAAACAAAGGGGATTATGACACTACCTAAAATTCTTTTCTATTTCAGAAAAGGATGATAGGTAGTATCATAATTCCTTTAGTTCTGAAAAGCACAATCACAAATGTGAATTTGATTTTTTATCCTCCGACACCGTAACAGTTGAGATCTTTTTTTCTTTTTTTTTTTTTCAAGCATAAACTTGAGATCTTAAAGAAGCACGCAAATGTCTTATAAAATCAAAATTCCAAAAGTTTAGGATAATAATACAATGATAATGTTAGAATACTCCAGAATTCCACTATACTATCTTTTTCGTATCGATTGACCCACTAAATTTTTAAAACTAATTAATTGAACCATTCCGTCTAGATAGTGGTTAAAAAATATGAAACTTTCGGAATTAATGGGGAACTTTCGTCACTTTGTTAATGAAAAATAGTATGGCGGATTAAATGGGAGTTTAGTAAAATTAAGTGAATCTTGATACAATTTGTTGAAAAACTTCTTGGAAACTAAAGAAGAATGGAATAAAGAAATGCCGTAGAAAATGTTTAACACAACTACTGCTGACATTCTCAAATCTTTTGAGCTAGTATCAGAGATTCAGAGATACTTTAGTCAGATGACCATAAGATCAAACGTTCGGCTATCAAGTCCTTCATTTTTTCCTTTCCCATTGTAAGGCTGAAGTCTCCCATTCAAAGGAAAAAAAAAACTGTAACTTAAGCTTTCTTTAGTTGACATGATGTATCGTTATAAAATAGTAACCCAAAATTTCAGTAGCTAAAAATAGCCATGCAATCACACACACAAGGCATGTAAAAAATCTTCAGTTCTTCGTTTATTCCCTGTTTGGATTGCCATTTTCTGCCAGAAAATTGCGTCATTTTCCGTGATCACATTTTCCTATTACCTTTTTCCCTCACATACATCAAATCGCTACAATAATTTTTTCATGAAAAATGACGGAAAATACAATCCAAACGGGAGTTTTGCAAGATGGCGCAGTAGCTATTCCTTCATGCGGTTGAAGTGCCTACAATCAATTGGAAGTTGCTGAAAAGTGATAAAACCTTCCTAATATAATTTCCAGGATTTTGCATTTTAGCTTCAGTCGAAGCCTAGGCATCTTCTTTCAAAATAAGTCATCGTTTGGCTTTTTCTTTATAAGCTTCCATCCTTTTGCTTTAGTTTGCTCTCTTTTTTAAAGATTGACAACATATGTCATCAAAAAGGACCCTAAAACCGAAGCGAACCAGGACCTTGCCATGTGCCACTCCGACAACCAATGGATGATATCCACATTCTTAGGTCCACCACGTTGACTAATTGTTCTACCATCCAACCAGGAAAGTCACGGCCGATTTCACTCCGCTTTCTTATCAATAACGGTACTGCTCCTACTTTCTCCTCTATATGATACTCCATCTTCCTAGCTAAAAGCCTTGCACATACTGCATTGTTTTAATTTTGATTCAAATTATCATCTTCCTCGCCCGTGTTCTCTTTTTCATCAAACTTGGATTTGACAGGGTAGGTTCACGATAAACAGGTACTTTTCCCATATTCATCAGATCAGCTATTGCCAGAGTAAGTGCTGAGATTTGTTTACTTTTCTTGAAGTTCCAGGCTTTTTTTTTTCCTTTTTTATAAACATAGCCTCACCATATAAGGGGATTTCTGCAGATTCAACGGATCAACTGTTGCCGGAGTATTCATTCTCTCCAAAGTGAGAGCTGAATTTCTTTTTCTTTTTTTTTTAATACACATTTTATGGTTGAAATATAAATGGCTTCCATGTGTTTATGACATTCATTCTACTAGCATACTTTTATATGTTGGCGACTAGCTTCCAGGGCTTAGGGTAAAACACTCAAAATTGTACAGTGCAAATGTGCAATATGCATCCCATGTTCAAAGCTCTATTACAAGACAACCCTGAAAGGTCATACAGTTATTTTTTCATTCTACTTTATTATGCCATTGCGTGGAAAAATTCTAATCTATAGGTCCACCACATTCAATAATTGTACTGCTACAAGGCTAGGAAACTCATGACCAATTTAACAGATCTACTTTCTTTTCAACAACAATACTACTCCTTTCTCCTCAATAATAGATCGTCTCCATTGCCAAAAAGCCTTGCATATACGAACAGTTTCTACATTTTTTTATTAAACTTTACTTTTGAGTAATTAAGTAGCTTCACGATATACTAGCAATTGTCCCAAATTCAACAGATCAGCTACTCCCAGTGGTTTCTCTCTTTCTTTTATTTTACTCTCAAGTACTTAATTTTGTTTTTTTCTCTCAAATTTAAAGGAATTTTAAGGTTGTGTTTGGATTGCATTTTTCGTCATTTTTCATGGAAAAATTACTGTAGCGATTTGATATATGTGAGGGAAAAAGGTGATAGGGAAATGTGATCACGGAAACGACAATATTTTCCGACGGAAACAAGCAATCCAAGCAAGGCCATTTTTCTATTTCTTTTTCGATGTAGCCTCGCCATTATAAAGGGAATTTCTGCAAATTCAACAGATCAGCTTTTGGCAGAGTGTTTATTCTCTCCAAAGTAAGTGCTGAATTTCTTTTTTTTATTATTATTATGCACATTTTTGGTTGAAAATGTTAGAATACCTCAAAATTTCACTGTACTATCTTTTTCGTATCGATTGATCCACTAAAATGAAGTAGGAACCTAGAACCAAAGTGAAGTAGGACCTTGCTAGGAAGTCATGGTTTTGCTCTGTCGATAAAAAATTTTGCACCGCATACTAGTTGAGCCAAAACTGATGGGGACTCGAAGCCAAGTAAAATTGCTATTTTATAAAAGGATCATAATTGTATAATTACCCTTGTAAATTTGAAAATCAAATACACAATAATGTAAAGTCAAATTTTTACTATGTCACCTTTTTTGTTTTATACTTTCTCCCTTCTCTGCACGCTTTTTGTTACTGTCTTACCTTGTAACATTTAAAATTTGAAAAATCTGCCTGAATGTCTATCACAACTAAAAGAGGATGGTACTGGTTAGTAAAAAAAGTAAAAATCAAATCGCAAGTAACTTATCAGTTATGACTTTCAATTCTTTAGTTGGCCTGATTTAAAATTGTAAATCATCGTGGCACATTAACAAAAAATTACACAAATTACAGTAGTTAAAACACACACACACACACAAAAAGGCATATACTACACTTTTTCGTCCATCATTTATTTACTTTTGCAAGAGACCCCACGGACAGCAAAGTCTTTCTAATAGTTTCCACGAATTTGCATTTTAGCTTCATTTGCGGACAGGGCACCTTCGTCTTTCAAAATCAAGTCGTTGTCTCGCTTCTTCTTTTTAATTTCCATCCTTTTGCTTTCTGGTGTTCTTTCCTTCTTGACAACTAATACTTCATTTTCCTATAGTTTCTTTCTTCTGAGGATCCACTATCGTGGATCATGAGTGAAAAAGGAACATAATATCACTATAAGCAGAAGAGTACAAAAGAGAGAGAGAGAGAACGAGACCCTATAAAATAATTCCAAGGTCCAAATGTATCTAAAACTAAAAACACTTGAGATCTTTTTTTTTTTTTTTGGAAGCATAACACTCCAGATTTTAAAGAAGCACACAAATGTCTTATAAAATCAAAATTCCTAAAGTTTAGGATAGTGATACAATGATAATGTTAGAATACTTCAGACTTTTGCTATATTATCTTTTTCGAATGAATTGACCTACTTCCCCATCCTCGCCCCGCCCCACTTCCCCTGCGAGTGCCCCCAGGGGCTAATAAAAATTTGTTATATAATTTTATTATGGTTAAATTTTAGCAAATAATCAAGTACTAAAATATCAATACATTACCAAATTATTATTCATTGTAATTTCATAATTGAAACTTATAAAAACAATCAAACAAAAGTTATTTGAATACAATCCAACATAATGAAATAAATACAACTAAAGTAGTTAAGTTTTCACTTTTGACACAAATACAATCACTAATTCATTATTGTGCTTATACTTTTTTTTAGAAAAAAATGTTATTGTATTAAGTGTAATTAGGAATTTAGTATAAATGTATTAGTAAATTTAGTATAACCAATTAATAATTTGTATTAGTACATATATATAATTATTAGTATAATTAATAATATCAATTATATTACATATACTAATATACATTATATAATACATATAACTAATAATATCATTATCATAACTGTGTAACTAATTAAATTATATATTATATATAATCGTATATTTATTTATTTATTTATTTTATATATTTAATTTTTTAAAGCGGGTGACGGAGCAGGGGGGAAAATATTCCCCCCGTCCCATTAGCCTCCCGCGGCACAGCCACCCGCCCCCATTGCCATCCTTACATATATAAATATAAACAATCTTCCTCTTGCAAGATGGTGCAATGGCTGCTCCTTTATCCGTTCGAAGAACCCACAGTCAATTAAATATCCCTGAAGAGTGAAGACTCCACTGACTAAAAAAGTCTTCATGATAATTTCCTCATTTTTGCATTTTAGGCAGCTTCTTTTGTCGGTAAGGCAGCTTCGTCTTTCATAATCAAATCGCTGTTTGGCCTTTTTCTTTAAATTTCCATCCTATTGCTTTAGTTTTTTTCTTCCTTTTTGGACGATTATGGCTTCATTTTCCCACCGATTTCTTTCTTCTGATTAGTGATTACGATATACATTTTCTAGCATTTCATCCTTAACTTTTTCACACGATTTTGACAATTCTTCTGTAGTAACAGGATCAAGATGACAAACCCTTACAAAAGAATTAAAGAATATGATGGTTTTAGTTGTTGTAGGATTCAAGTAGCTCGAGTAATTGACATCCAAGTTATGACTAGCAACAAATTTCACCGGTAAATTTTAAATATTTAACTAAGGTAACTGTTTTGATATAAAAAGGCAATAACAGCAAAAGCCAATAAAAGAATTCCTTTTATTTTTTTTTAGTTGGGATTGCATGGATAGAATATTACTTAGAAAAACTTTTGTATAATTCATTGTAGCATGTTTTGTAGTATAATGTATTTAAGATAAATAAGTAATTGTAAAACATGTTTAAGAGCAATTAAAAAAATAAATATTCTTTTAGAGTCATCACAATGATACGTAACACAACTGTCCCACAAATTAGACAATCATTGCATGAGTAAATCAGTAAAGGACAGATTCACATGTGAATATTGTCTGGAAGTCTGCAAGTTTAGCCCCACACCTTTTATATTAACAGATCTGAACGCGGTTTGATTTGTTGACCAATAGTATTGAATCGCACATTATTAAAGTTCATCATATTACGAACCGATGACCAACTCTAATTTCTTCCTTTTCTGTACAAGGTCAAGGAGCCTCTGTTCCTTTCCTGATATTCTCAAGTTAAAGAAAAGGACTGAAAATGGCAGAAACAGTTCTCTCTTTTGTGTTAGATCAGCTCTCAATTTTTCTGCGTGAAGAGGGCAGATTATTGGGAGGGCTTCGCCAAGAGGTTCAACTCATCAGCGATGAGTTGGGGCACATGAGAGCTTTCGTGGGAGTGGCAGAAACAATAGAAGAAGGTGCTGATCCCAGGCTCCAAGAATGGATCAAGCAAGTACGAGAAGCCGCTTATGACACCGAAGATGTTCTTGATGAATTCGTAGCTTGCTTTGCTCACCATCATGCAACAGGGTTCTATGGCTCTGTTAGGAAAATTTTCAACTCCATAAAGACTTTGCGAGCTCGTCGTAAGGTTGCTGTGCAAATACAAAGCATCAAGGCCAGAGTAAAGAATATATCTGAAGGGCATCAGAGATACCAATCAGAATTCGGCGGTACTACCCAAGCGGCCGAGTCTCTCGCTGCTGTTAACAACACAACATGGCGCTATAGCAGGGATGATGCACTTCTCGTGGAAGAAGCTGAACTAGTTGGCATTGACCACCCCAAACAACAGCTAATTTCTCAACTACTCGAGAGGGATGATTCCCAGCTCAAAGTTGTTTCTGTGGTTGGCATGGGAGGACTCGGTAAAACTACCTTAGTCAAAAAAGTCCACGAAGATTAGCTATTAGAAGGCATTTCCCAGTTCGTGCCTTTGTAACTGTCTCTCAACCATGCAACTTCCTGGAGCTCCTGAAAGACTTGACTCGGCAGTTACACAATGAATTGAAGAAACCAGTTCCAGAATCGATTGAGGCAATGACTGCATATCAGCTGAAACTATGTGTTAAAGATTTTCTTCAACAACCTGTAAGGTATGCAATTGTGTTTGATGATGTATGGGATGTAGAATTCTGGAATGAGATTAGATTTGCACTGCCCGAAAATGGCTATGGCAATCGCGTCATGCTAACAACACGAAAAACCGATGTAGCCTCTGCATCTTGCAACAAATCTCAAGATTATGTCTTCAAAATGGCGCCCCTGTCTTTCGAGGATTCATGGACCCTATTTTGCAGCAAGATCTTCAAGGAAAATGGTTGTCCTGCCCATCTAATAGATGTTGCAAAAGGTATACTGGGGAAATGTGAGGGATTGCCCCTTGCGGTTCTTGCAATCAGTGGGCTTTTGGCTTTGAAAGACTTGAATATTGCAGAGGAATGGGAGATGGTTCGACGCAGCCTTGGGGGTGAATTAGAAGGCTGTGGTATGCTGGACAGGGTAAAAAAGATACTTTCTCTCAGTTACAATGATCTACCCTGCCATCTTAAGACCTGTTTGTTGTATTTAAGCATTTACCCAGAGGATTTTGAAATACGTTGTGGTAGACTTGTTCAATTATGGTCAGCTGAAAGATTTGTAGGTAAGAAAGAAGGAATGACTGTGGAAGATGTAGGCTACAATTACCTCAGAGAACTGGTCAATAGGAGCCTAATTCAAGTGACCCAAATTTTTTATGAAGGAATCCCCTACGCTTGTCGAATCCATGATCTAGTGCGAGAAATTGTTCTTTCCAAGGCAAGGGAACAAAATATGATCGCAATTACTACTGGACAATACACAAAGTGGTTGTATGAGAAGGTACGCCGTTTGGTAGTCCATAGTAGCAGCAACAACACCGAGCAGCACCAAGAAAGCCAATGTTATAGCTTTAACCACCTTCGATCCTTCATTACGATTGAATCCATGAATCCACTGGTATCCAGAACCTTGTTATCAGAAGTTTTAAAGAGTGGCAGATTGTTAAAGGTTTTGGATTTGTGTGATGAAAAGACATTGGAGGAACTCCCAAATGAGATTTTCAACTTGTTTCGTCTCAGGCATCTGAACCTATGTAGGACAGGGGTTAAAGCAGTCCCGAAATTCATAGGAAAGCTGCGAAAGTTGGAGTATTTGAATTTGGGTGAAACTCAAGTCAAGGAATTACCCGTGGAAATCCTGAAGCTACAAAAGCTTGAGCATCTTATAGCATACAAAAAAGTTGATTCTTCTGATTACAGTCAAGGATATCATGGGTTTAAAGCTCCATCAAAATTGGGAGGGCTTCTTGCCTTACAAACATTAGATACCATAGATGCCAGTAGCGGATCCGTAGTAGTTAAAGGGATAGGGAAATTGACTCAATTAAGACGATTACAGATTTCAAATCTGAGAAGAGAAGATGGAAAGGAGCTCTGCTCCTCCCTCGCCACCCTCACTAGACTTTGGGAATTAAACATTGCTTCAATTAGAAATGATGATGCTGATTATGAGGTAATGGATCTGAATTATCATGATCAACAACAACATTCTCATTCATCTTCAATGCCTTCAACAACATTTCTCCAATCTCTTCGTATGCTAATATTGTATGGCCGCTTAGAAAAGATGCCGCAATGGATAGCTCATCTTGAAAGCTTGGTAAGAATAGCTTTGTGCTGGAGCCGTTTAAGGGTTGAAGAGGATCCGCTTGCACCCCTCCACCATTTGCCAAATTTGGTAACTATTCAATTTATTGGATCTTACCAAGGAGAGGGGTTGTGTTTCAAGGCTGGAGGATTCCCGAAGTTAAAGGATTTGTGCCTAGAGAAATTAGAGAAGTTAAAATGGCTGAAAGTGGAGGACGGTGCATTACCCAATCTCCAAGAACTGTATCTGGATACACTTCCATTGCTAGAGGAGTTGCCTTTGGGAATTCAGCACTCAAGGAATCTTCGAAAGCTGTATTTGTCTGAGTTGAGTTCTCAACTGATGGAGAAGCTAGAGAATCTAAATGAAGAGACTGAAGATTATAGAAAAATTGCACACATTTCTGAAGTTGTCACTGTATTGTGGACAGATGAGGAGGGATGGAGACTGCACCGGCTGTGGGGGAAGAAGATGTAAATATTTCCTTCCTATTTCTTTTCGTTTGTTTTTTGTCCGTTTGTTTGTAACTTCTGAGTTTATAATTTGCTTTATCTTTTATCTTATTGTATAAATATTGTATTGCATAATCTTGTTTAATTTTTTCTTTAATTGATTTAGCAAATAATTTAGAGGTTGCAGGTTAGAAGCGCCTTAGCATCATGCACACAATTTCAATATACAATCTAAAACAATAGCCTAAAATTTTGGTACAAAATTAAAACATGAAGCCTATGTTTATACGCTGGTATGACTTAGAGATTGATTTCTCTAGTAGTTAATAATATAGTAATTTTTTGACAAATAATGGTTGTATCAGTCCTTTATGCTCATCCATCTGTCCTTTTGGACAAATTAATATTCTCAAGTAAATTATTTTCAATCATGCCCACTTGTTACGTATGAATTAATATTATGTCAAAGATATGACAAATCCACTTATTACAGTCATGAAAACAATTTCTTTTTCCATGAATTGATAATCGAATGTTCGCACTATAATGCCCAATCCACCAAGGTTCATTTTTAAACCAAAAATATTGAAGTTGCTAAAATTGAGAACTTCTACATCACACAGAAGTATTTGTTGATGAATGCAGTCATACTCATAGTCAATATTTGTAAGGCAACACAGAAGTATAAAAAAGCAAATAATAGTGCTTTGTTTGGAAAGCAATTTTTCTCCAAAAAAAATTTTAAGTTTTTTGTGAATATATTTTTGAATCACCTTTTTATCACACATGCATTAAATCATTACAACGCATTTTTATATAAATATTCTAGAAAATAACAATCCAAATGAGACTTTTAGTGTCCTTAAAACACAAATACTTCTCGACAAATACCATGGCGTTATATAACAAACTAACGTGTTGGAAGTGGAAGAGTCCTTGAACAACACAGAGAAATAGGAAAGCTCAGGTCTAGTAACTATGGCCTCGGATTAATAATTTTGAAGTTTCAGGAAAGAATTGAGAGTACTCTAGAAACATAAAGGCTCAAACCTTGTGCGGCTATTCTTTGCTTGGTCCTAAATCAATTCATTCAATAGATGCAATTCGTGCCAGTGATTAGTGGTGCAACTGATGGACAAGAAATCTATGATCTAATAGAGCTCAAATTACTTCAATTACTGAAGGCCTGTTTAAACTTTCATGCAGCTTTTGATGAAAAGCCATAAAAAAGTCTTTTTCCACGCCGCAAAAGACATACACCTAAAGGAAAAGATTACAAGACATGACAAAGCATATCAGATGATGCTAATAGGAGATTTAGCCCCTCCCTGCAAACTATGCACAAGGCTACCACTTAAATCACAGTATCACCAAATAGAAAGCTAAATGTTGACGTACCATTTGAAGAAGCATCTGTGTGTGTGTGCAGAACTCTAGAGAGAGTGTCTGAGATTTATATTTTACAATTCATGTAACTTGTAACGATGCCTACAACTATCAAAATTATGTATTTATATCATATCTAACCAAATTCCTTGCATCCTATGCATCATAGGATGCTTTTCCCTGCAAATTCCTAGAAAGTTCTATGCAAACGTAGGATGCTTTTCCATGCAACACTTTCCGAGGAAAATTCTATGCAAACAACTCAAAGGGAAGAAAGTCAACCCAATACCAGGAAGGATTCACACGATTCAGATATTGCCGCATCATGGATCTGATTCATGTGTCTCTATCCTTCAAATTGACTAAACCAGTCTGTAATTGTTCTTGTGAGGACTCTAGTGTCATTCAAAGAAATTGTCTTGAGGCCTTGAGCAACAGCATCTACAGGCGAGTATATATCGCCCACTTGCCATCTAGGTTCCTGATCGCCCAACAAAACAAATTTCAGCATAAATGGAGAATAAAAAGAAGGAATTTAGTTAGAGCACAATAGTTGACCATGCCATTGTTCTGATTACCGTGCTACTTCCCAATTTTTTATCAAAAGTAACTTAAAGATCATGCTAAGTAATACATACACAGTTAGCATAACAAACAAGGCGCAGCGCAACATGTCAGCATAAATTCCCAGAAAGCAAAGGTCTAAAGATTTTGATACAAAAGGAGCACAAAGTTACTGCAGCATACCTGTATGCAAGGTGTAATATGAGTTCCATTCAATATTATTTTCTGTAGTTTTCCACCAATAGATTCCACTCGAGGCTTCAGTGTCTCTTCAAGGAGATCAGTCTGATCAATTGCATCAACATTGAACTTGACCTGAAAAAAGAATCAGATAGACTTAAAAGTGAACATTGAAGTTGCAGCAATTCAATCAATTCTGGTACTTGAATAACATGTTCAAACCAGTAATGTATGCTGAACATTGTATGACTTCTGGAAACAGTCAAGATTCTCAAAGGGCGTTGGCCTGAACTCCGAAATTCCTTCAGCAAGCTGAAGTAACATCCATTTGAGGCAGTTTGATTATTAGAGAATGACCAGAAGACAGAAAGAGCGACAAAGACATTTCACCATTTGACAGAAAAATGATGGAGATATAGACATGTTCAGCCACAAAGGTGGCAGGATTTGTTTTCCAGGTTGGATAGACATCATCATGTAAGTGGGGTGTCACCTGATTAAAAACAGCTGGCAACTGATCAACAAACTTGTTGACTGACACTACCACTTCTGGATCAAAATCTGGAATCATGGTTCCAGCAGTATCAAGTAGTACTTTCCATGCATCGGCTGTATATTAGTATCAATGACAGGAGAAGGCATTAGAATCAGAAAGATGACATAAGCAATTATTCAACCTCATCAGCCATTTGTCTTCAATCAAATGAAGCATTGTACCATACCTATGAAAAAAATCCAAATTTGATTTTAAAACCAGTACCAGGATATTTTCATTACTACTTGAAGGCTTGCCTTGGTTTACAGAGATACCTTATATTTGGTAATTGTGAAACTTGGGGAGGATTTAATAAAAGTTTCAAAAATAATAATTTCAAAACTTGGTAATTGTCACTCTTGTGCTCTATTGCTTCTTCATGAATAATAAAGTACACGAAATATAACCTAACATTGTTTGCAAGTAAATATCTCTGTATTCCCTAAGACCCTAAAAATAATATTCTACTCCCTCGACACAAAATAGAAGACCGATGTTTTAGATGATCTAAAGCCTGACATCAAAACACTTCATGCATTAAGTTTCTCTTCTTGGTTCAGGAAAATAATGTTTAGGCCACACAAGGAATTAACTGTTAGTAAACATTTGCAAAATTAAGAAAAAGAAACCAAATGCAAAAGTACAAATTCAATTATAGTTATTCATTTTCTTTTTCTAATTTCTAATTATTAAGTTTTGTACAAACCGAAAAAATTATTTTTGTTGTTACTGCTACACTTGCTATCTACAATGAAAATGCACGTATTAACATTTGAAAGTTGCAATGAAGTACACTCTCTGCAAAATGTCAAATAACGTCTCCTTTTTTTTAGTGTAAGTGGGAGGGCTTGAACCTGGGATCTCTCACTTACTCTCCCCCCCCCCCCCCCCAAAAAATAAAATAAAATAATGTCCCATTTTCTGTTTAATGCAGATATTGTTGAGGCCTCTTTCAAAGCATTAAAATGGAATCAGGACCAAAGAGCACTTGTATGCCTGGGTAATCTTGCGTATGTTTCAAGGCCTCAGAAAATAACATTTGCACGAAGATTCTCTTTTAGCATATCTATAAGGAAATCAAGGGTAGAGACACTTCAGCAAACTATAGTTCCAAATAATTGGTCTTCAGGAATCCAAAGAGTTGCACAGGACAGGGAATTAGTATAAGATTAAATCAAAGTGGTGGTACCTATTCAACTTTTGTCCAATACGGTAGATGTACTCATCCTCCATTACATTAACAGAAGGTTCGTTTTCCAAATAGAAGAGAAAATGAAAAAGGTAAATAAACATTGGCAAGAATGTCACAACAGTCAGACGAACTACTCAATTAAGTGCAGATAGAAAACTACGCAACCATGTTGAGTGCAGATCGTCAATCTGTGGATAATAAAGTTGGTACCTACAACTAGAAGCTTTGATTTGGCTACAAATTCATGATATCCACACATTAGTAGCTCCACAAGTATTTGTGTCGACACAAATTGTAGGATACAATTTCTACAGCATGCCTTGCTAGTTTCTGAAAAGCCTAAGACCTACCCCTCATTCTTGAGCTATCTATGACCGTCAATAGAGTTCTTCTATATAAACCACCTCATAGGTAACCAGTTTTCCACTCTGTTGTTTAACACCCTTATACAGAACTTAACCCTAAAAAGTTAGACTAACTCAAAGAAAATAGTTCTACACTATCACTGCAATTTACAATAGATAAATAAAACAGAACAGGAACATTCTCTACCACCCCATCCCTTCTTGCACTCCACCAATACTCATCAGTCTACAACACAAATTCCTCCACCTCACCCAAACTACAAGTTAGATCATGGGAAGGTGAGAGCAAAAATGACCTTCAAGAGTCCAAACAAAGCCACGCTGTTTCTCATCAAAGCTAATGTCAATGGTGATTATATTAACAACAGAGGGATTGATTTGGCAATTTCTCAGTAGCCCGCTTTTGTAAAGAGCATACAATTAATCCTGGGATTCAAAAGATTCTATTAGACTAACGCAGCATTGATGTATGAGTAGCTAAAGCAACATAACTAATGATGTTTAATTTTAAAGAAGTATCAAGAAAATTAAGAAACCTTTCACTGTGATCAACCTGAGGCATTTCGAGTGAATGAATATACTGGAGACGCTTCCATAATTGGAAATATTTGACTGACAAGAGGTCCTAACTGCATCATAGCATAATACAACTTCAAAAATGAGGAATGTTACAAAAGCAATAGTAGTTCTTTGAGAGGCAGTAGACAAAATTTGACACGGATTCTAAAGCAAGGGCTAAGAAAACTGGAGCCCTACCAATTGAACGAGTATAGTAACAACTCATCATATAAGCATATTTACAA